AAAGGCTGAATCCCGGCGGAGCTCGGCTCCAGCTGGGCGCACGCACCTCTCCATCCCGTCCCACCCCGTGCTCGGCCTGTTAGCGTGGCTGCTGCAGCCAGACCGTGGCCTTGCGTTAGTGTGAATAAAGCATGAATTGCTCCAGTCAGACCTCTGTCCAGACACCTTCCTGTTTGGGCTGCTGCTTCCAAATCAGCCAGGGAGTGCCTGTGGAAGAGTTTAGTGTAGGAGACATTTGCAACTCTCGTATGTTTTAGACAGTTTTAGAAAAGAACTTCCTGAATATGGCCATGGAACTGATTCTCTAATCTTTTGCAATGTGGCACATATAATCCTCACTGGGATGCTTATCTACTGGAAGAGATTTTCTTGGTGGCAAATGTGACTTTTTCCCTATCAGTAAATCACAAAAATCTTCAGGAGGTGATGAATGCATCCCCTCCCTCATCCCCCAATCATTCACCTAAGTATTCATGTAAGGGGATTTGTATTCATGTAAGGAGAAACATCCACTCTGTATGAATTTCACATTCACAGGCTCTCTCCCTCATCGTTTGACTGGATCCTTCATTGCTCTTACCTCAGCTTAGTCTGAGCAGAGTGGTAGGAAATAAGACACCAGGACTCTGCTGTAAAACCTCCCCTTTGCAGAAGGCTGTCCCAAAAGGAGAGGTAGAGGAGATACAGAGGGTAATGGAACAAGAAGCCATAACCAGAGTACATCGATGTCCTAGATATCTTTCTGAACCACTGCTTGTACAAACCAGAGCAAGAGTGAGGTCAAGTTTAAGGGTTAGAAAACCCCTCACTTACAGCTCCCCTAAGAGCTACCAAAACTACCAATATGTATGGGTCTATGACCATGAACTGCTTTTTGGTCAGAGAAAAGTCAGAACAGAGCTCTGCATGACTTCGTCAGTACAGCTGTGCAGATAGATACCCATCTATATACATCACTGTTCTCTTTGTTTTTATTCACTCTTCTGCTCTACTTAGTATCACTATGCAGCTGAAGGCAGCTGCAGTTTCTCTTTGCTGTCACACATACATTAAAGGTCTCGTTGATTTTCCCCATCCCAACTTGCCCATTCTAACTCTCTTTGTGTCCATGACAGGTAAAAATGACCCCTGACTCGAAATGCTGATAACACTCCTGGATATAAGTGCAACCATTAAAGTCAATGCCTGACATGGGAGTCAACAAGCGAAGGGGAGAGTTGGTAGGATTGGGAATGGAGAGGGTTGTGTGCTTTACAGCACTGTTCTGGGAGCCCCAAGAGCCTATGTGATCCCAGGGAAACCTGTGCTGCCACAAACGTCCCAGTTGTCCAGCCCTACCTGTGGGTAGCTGAGGGAGTTCTCCAGGTAGTGCAGGTCGTCCCCTGTCCCCCCGGCCTCGCGTCCTGCCTCCAAAGGTATCCCGTAACGAGTGCATTTCTCAAAGCAGACATAGTCGTATTGCGGTGTGCCCCCCCACAAAGCTGACTTCGATCTGGGTTCCTGCGTCATGGTCTCTGAGCTCTCCATGCCTCTACTATTCCTCACGCTCAGTTGTAACGGAGCTGCTGCTCTGGGCCTTACCTAGAACCACCTCATGTTCTGGCCGAGAACATGGCCTCCACACTTTCTTCTGTTCCCTCCTTTTCTTTCTCTCCTCAGACCACTCTGACTTGTCCTGTTCCTGCACTCACTTTCTCTCTGCCCCTCCTCCTCCTCCTCCTCCTCCTTGTGCCTCTCTCACTTTCTCCCCTTCCTGCGCAAAGGCAGTGATTGCAGGGTTTAACTATATTTATAGCAACTTTCCTCTGCCACATGATTCCCCAGTGCTGTGTCTGATCTCAGCAAAAGGCACTAACTCTGCCAGGATTGAATATCAGGTGTGGGCAAGAGGGGAACTCCTGAAGGAGAGGGAAGGGGGAGGGGGGGAGGAGGAAAGAAGGCAGTAAGACAGAGCTAGAAGTACAGAGACAGAAAGCAGACAGGAGGAAGCAGAAATGATTACCCAGGAGATCTCTTCTTTCACACCTCCCCATCCTGAGCAAGCTATATTTGCAATGCGAACAAAATTCAGTGGGCTTCCTCCTTCTCTCCCCAGACACCAGGTGTCCAAAAGACTGAGTGACAGTCATAAAGATGCCAAGAACTACAGTGAGACAGAACAAGATGGGTGCACACTCAGTGTCCCAAGACAATTTTTCTAAGTAAGTCCATGGTCCACAAGAGAAGCAGCAAGCCCTAATGGAGAAGTCAGGCATCCTTGTAAACTGCTGAGCATTACAGCTTAATCTCAGCCTTTCCATGTGCCCTTATGGAGAACACTTTACACTTTTGAAGAATGTCACCAAACTTCTCTGTGGGTATTCAATTATGGGTATATGCAGAAATCTATTCTTCTTGATGCTCGCTTTTCCACAGGCTAGAGCATTCAACAGCTTCTCCTCTCCACTCTACAACTTGTTTCTCAACCAGGAAAAAAAGCAATGAGCTCAGCCAACACCAGTGAGCTACCAGCCAGTGACAGGAATGAGAAGCATGTTCCAGCAACATGGTCTAGAGACACCTCCCAGTGCTGTCAGTGTGCTGCCTGTAACCATATATCTTTTGATGGCTATTAATCAATGAAAAGCAGTGAGTTCAGGAGCCTAGAAATTGTGTACAAGAAAAGAAGACCCCACATGCCGCAAACACAGTTGCTAAAGAGCTGCTCTTATTCCTTCTTCCTCCTCTTGCACACTATCACCTCTCCAGAATAACGGTTTCCAAGCTTCTCACACTGCAGGATAAGAGATTTGCAGTTGGCTACGTGGTGCTCAGTTGCCAACTGAGGTTAAACCACAGCAAGGGCATGGGGGGGAGAGAGAGAGAGGCAAAACACCCTTCTTTTTGGTCCAGAACAGAAGTCTCATTATTTCATTTTGCAGACCTCTGTAAAACATTTCTCCTGGAGGCTCATTTTGCTTTTTCTCAGTCTACATGGTCCTCCAGAGCGGGGTACAAAGAAAGTCTCCAAGAGGAAGACACACTTGATTTCCTCCATAAACCACCTCCTCACCTCCTCCAATGTTTCTGCTAACAATATCCATATGGATATACATTAGCAATAATACCCATATGGATATTGTTAATCTGTACAGTCCACACCTGGTGGCATGCCAGGCAAGCTCTGAATATTTACAAAAGCAAGATCAGTGCTGCCTCAAAACATATAGGCTCATCTGTTTCACTCTCACCAGCACTCACTTTAATGTCAATAAGCAATGTTCCCTGGAGGAAGACTGTGGCCCATCAGTAGGGCAAAACTTGTAATGAACCACCTTAAAGGAGAGTTTCTAAGTGACCATGTCTAGCATACAGAGAAGAATATTTGGATATCCTCATAGATTTCCATCTTAAAGGCATTAATTGCTCCCAACCTATTGAGATGCTTTTGGAAGACCAATGTCACCACAGCTTACGTAAAAAATTATGCATAGCATATACTATATATATATATTGTATATATAGTGTCTAAAATATAAAAAAGTGTATAGAATATAAGTGTACATCATATATAGAAAACCTAAAGACCAACCACGGTAAGCCCCAGCAAACATCAAAGCTGTAATACGGTACCAGATCTTCAGTTACTATTACATTTACTGGAGAACACTCATCATAGCCACTGGAGAAAACTAATGGGAACCATTACCCAAAGGTGCACTCTTCCAGCTCTTGTTTTTCAAGAAGCACAAGAATAGCATATCAGAAATTGCTTCAGTATAAAAAAGAACCCCCTACTGCCAGCTAACCAAAATCTACTGTCTGTCTTGTATGATACTGTTGTGGAATTTCCATGGAAAACAATTATATAATTATAGTCTAAAATAAGATGATCCTACCCTGAAAGGTATTTTCCAAGAACTGTCCCTCTCGGCCTCCAGATTGGCCCCAGCCTCACTCACCTTATCAATAAAAGCATGAAGGACCCCAAGGCCAACATTCGCCAAATAGCTCTAGATGCTACTCGAACAACAAACCTTTACCATCCTCAAGAGGAAGACAACTCACAAAACCCCTGCACCTTCCCTCGTACTTTCCATAATGTAATGCACCTCATCCTGTGCACCAAATGGTAGACCGATAACTATACAGATGAAACTGAACCATCATTATGCACACAGTGGTACATGTGTACACTCTAAGGACCTAGCTCTAAGGACATCTGCAGCTAAGGACATAGCATTTATCTAATTCCCAGTGGGAGAGCACTTCTCATCAAACAATCTCTCTACCTCTGATCTCTGTACCCAGCATATTGTCTACCAAGGAAAAGACGGAGAACTGAAATTCACCATTGCAGTGCATGACAAAATATATGCCACCTGTAGAGATACTGGATTTATGTCACATTATTTCCTGTGTCCTGAACACTAATCTTATCATGCTCCACAGCTTATAAATCACCCCTCTCCCTCTTTCCTCTACGTGGAAAGCAATTTGTCAGCTCTCTGGGCGCTATTAACACCCTCTCTATTCCACAAGGTACCAATAACCTTTTGTCACAGCCTCACTGACACTAGTCTAGTTAAATTCAAAGCAGCTACTCTCAACTTGTATTTGCTTTGAGATCTGCTGCTTCTATTTCAGACTCAAAGAAGAACTTGTAGACCTAACAGCTTGTCCACTTTTTCCAGCTGGCACAGCTGACCTAATGAAAGGTATTGTTCCAGCTCCACCCATTGTCTTGTCCATGTTTTCAGATCAGCAGAGTCCCAAAAATACAGAATACTGAGCACACCCTGAAAAGACCTGACTTTCTGCACTGCTGCTGCCCAGCAACTGCTGTCAAATCTCCCCTATCACTTCTCCTGTAGTTTCTTGCCACAGTTCTTCTTTATTGCTCATCTGTTCTGCTTTCTACTACCAGGGCCTAGCCCTGCCCTTCTACCAGCACACAGCAATGTAGTACTGCTGATGCTTGAGAGGTTACCAACAGACTCAGGATCCTGACTAGCACAGAAGTGGAGGAAGCTGTCAAAAAAGTGGATGGTGTAATAACCATCTTGCACTAGTCACAAACATAGATGACCCATATGTATGGCTTGACTCCTCAGGTGCACCTGAGCCTCTTGAAAGGGCTCATAAAAGTTTCCAGACTGCCCCACAGCACACAAGAGGAAAGGTATACAATCTGCTCATACACCAGTTTTTTCTTTGCGTATTACAGGCCCTAGAGGGACTCCAAAGTGTTTCTGTGGTACTTCCTTCAAGCAGGACATCTTCATGACAGATGAAACTACAGCTACAGCCCCAGTTAGGGTCTCAGGTGAGGAAAAAGAAAGGAATAGAAGTTAGAAGAACTCTCACCCAAGGTGGGTCTCTTCTCCAGTCAGCCATCTATCTTTCTCCCTCCTCCTCCCAGTTTTCTCTCAGGTCTCCCTTTCTCTGCCTTTACTTTTTTCTCCTGAATGCTTTTCAGGATGCAAAAATATAATTCCTAGGCTTCCCACCCTACTGCCTTTATAGTGAAAGCTCTGATGGGGGGAGGGATGATTGAAGACTTGCACTTCTCTCACGGTCCTGTCCCAGGAGATTTATCACCTGAAATCCCAGTGCTATTAATCAACAATGACAAGCTTAATGTTGTTCCCTGTGCCCTGCCCACACAATTATCAGACATCATACTAACTTCTGAGCTTTCTGCTTATATTAGAACTTTTTTTTTGTTTCTCTAGCAGATTCATCCAAAAAGATCTAGACCACTTCATGGCCTCACTGTATACAAGCCTTATGGCCCACCGCCAGACTGCAGCCTCCTCCTCTGGAATGAAACATAACATCTATTTTTCAGCTGCCGCCAATACTGCATACACAGACATTATAGCAGATGGTGATGCAGAGCCCTCTACCACCCCAGACTGAAAGGAGTTGAATTTGTGGAGGCAGAGTTATTGTTACTCAGAACCATGCATGCAGAATAGAAAAGCATTCATTTAAGAATAAAGAAAAAAAATATTCTGTGCTTAAGAGAACTCAGTCCAAGAGGTCCCTAAGGCTGTGAAGGAGATGATATAAAAGATAGGCTATGAGACAAAAGAAACTGTAAAAGAGAAAGGGAAAAATGGAGTTTTTAAGGAGGAAGAGGAGAAAGGTGACAAAAGGACTACTTAACAGTAACAGAGACTCTAGGAGATAAACACGGAGGCAATAAGAGACAAAGAAAGCACAGAACGACATGAGGGGATGAGGTGCAGGACAGGAAGAAGTCACAGCAAGTGTACCTTGCCTCAAGCAATAGCTTCAGATGGAGCAAAAAGAGTGAAAAGGCAGGAAAAAGACTTCAGTAGACATAAGATAAGGCAATGTCTTGTAGATGAGAACAACGTGCCTGAATGGGACATTTTATTAGACAAGAAATGCATGGAGGCTTCAAAGAGCTACAGGAGGCAACTGGAGCTTTGGGAGAGAAAGAATGCTGTGAAAAGGATTAGGAAGAGGGAGGGAGACTGGGAGAAACAGCTTTTATAGTGAAAGAAATAGACCATGGACTAAGGCTTGAACAGTAGCAAAAGAGAGAAATTTAAGCTGTGCAGGAGCACATTGCAAGCAAGGCTGAATATGGAGAGATGATGACAGAGAACTCTCAGAGAACACTTGAAAGAAGGGTTGAGTTCACAGTAAAAAGTGGAAATAAAAAGTCCAGAAAGTTTAAGGGCTTTCATCATGGAGGAATAAC